AAGGCAGGTTTAGTCGTTTGGAAGAAACATTTTATTTGTATTGACAAAATGAAGTACCGTTCCAATTTTTGGGCAGACAGGTCTAGCGGTTTCAGAGATCGAGTAGAAAAAGTGAAAAAAACGCCATTGGACGGTCAAAATGATTTTTAGACATATGCACATCAAATTATCAGATATTTTTCAGAGATTTTAATTTTAAGTATGAATTTGGTATACATTTCTATGAGTTCCGCCCTAATATATTATCCGTTAAATCCGTTGGATTATTTCTTTTGTAAAACAGCCATGCAGCACGATTGCTTTGAAAACAATTCAAAATTTTAGAAAAATTCAAAGTATAAAAAAACTTCAAAATAAAAAAAAATCCAATTTTTCAAAAAGAAATTTTTCAAAAATTCAAAAAAATTCAATTTTTAAATGTTAAAAAATTTTAAAGGTTTTGTTTTAAATCTAATTTTACACGGAAAGTGCCTTAAGGCACGATGCCATGCACCACTGTTTATCAATACATTCAGAAATGTCACTTAATATTTATAGAGGGTAGTAGCTGGGGTAGTGAATTATTATAAATATTTTTTATATTTCTCATTTTGAATAATTGAACATCCAGCTCTCCGTCTATTATTACTCAGGTACCTTAGGCAAGTTCTGTTCCAAACGAACGCAGCACATTGCGCTGGTGCAATGCCGTGAAAGAACATTTCTTGCTTCGAACTAAAAACTTTCGGAATGTTTGCGCTTCGTTAAATGTTAATAAAATGATTTTTATAAATGAAAAGTGCCGGAAAAGTCGTTAGAAAATGTAGATAGTTCTGTGTGCTAAGTGTGTAGAAGTTTTAGTTTTAATACTCCATTTAAATTCGTGCGTTTTAGTTTAGTTTCAAGGCATGATTGTTTCATGTTGCCAAAGCCTATAAGTATTTTTGTGTTACATTTTTATAAGTTGAGTAATATATTTTGTGTTATTTTGAGGGTATTGGCAATTAGTATTATAAAGCCATTAATTATTCTGCAAGGTTCATTTTAAAAAATAACGACAAGCGCTAATTGCCGTCTCGTTAATTTTATTAATAAGTTCTAATTGTTTACAATTGTGCGCGCGATGTGTAATTATTATATGTACTTGTGACAAACAATGATACAGATTCTTCTTCTCTCAGTGACCAAGAAAGTGATTTCATTTGTAGACGTATGAAAATAAAATACAGTTTCAATCATGGCTCCGCCGGATTTAATAGATTTGAGAAGTCCTGATGGATCGCAAAATCCCAGGATCGTTATTGAAAATGTAGACGCGAACAAACATGAATCCGACAGCGAGGATGTTTTTATGACACCATTAAATTCCTTGTACATCGACGAAGAAGCGTTTTATTCCACTCTTCCTGAAGAAACCGATGTAGTTCCTCCTGCAAGTGCTGACACGTCTGGTGAGATCGAGCAGTGTCTCATGGAATTAGATAACTATCTCCAAAGTTTAGATAACGACGAACCTGCAGGTAATGTCAATCAAGGTTTCGTTTTGGATGAAACCAGACCTGTGCGACCCGAAAGACGGAGACCGGCGTCTGCTGGTCGAGAATCTAGGAATTTTTGCAGAAGGAATCCTTTGAGATCAACGTGGACGGCTCCTAATGATAGGTTGACAGGATCGGATCAGGATTTGCATGTGTCTAGTAGGAGGGATTGGAGTTGGATTCAGGACGTGGCTGTGCCAGACGTTGTGGCGCAAGCCTGGTTGAGGAGGTCGATGAGGAGGGCCCAACCTATTGTTCTTCAGGAGGTAAATATATCGAAATGGGACTTCAACAAAAATAAAATCATTTACTGAAAAATAAATATATTTAGCAAATTGTAGCCTTAAGAGGCGTTCATTAATCACGTGAGGTTTTTAGGGGGAGGGGGAGGACAAAATATCACGTGTGGGAGAGAAGGGTATAGTAAGATATCATGTGTATTTTTTACCTGATTTTTAACTTCCCGTAGGGTAAGTTATTGTAATGGGCCGAAAATCGAAATTGAAAATTTTTACATCTCTCGACGTTTTGAAGGTATCTGAACATTTTGACATACCTCAGAAAAAATGGATGTGTGTGTGTGTATGTATGTATGGATACAAATTTCCAGTCATGTTTTCGGGCGCACGGATCAACCGATTTGAATGGTTCAAAAACCATTCGATTTCTATCTATAGGGAGAAGAGCTGATTAGTTTTTGGCAAAGGCAGGTCCAGCCGTTTCGGAGATACGGAGCAAAGAGTGCAGAAAATAGAAATCGAGTTTTTGAGTGAACGGAGCATCCGATTTGAATGATCTAGAAAACATTCAATTAGTAATGATTGGGAGGAGTGATTATTAGTTTTTGGCAATGGCAGTTTTTTGGCAAAATTTCGAAGATACAGATCTAAATGTGCAAAAAATGGCAGTTTTTGAGAGAACTAAGCGTCCAATTTAAATGATTGAAAGAACTTTCAGCTTGTTTTAACAAAATTGATTTGGAAAAAAAAACTTTCGTGTATTTTTTTTTTAGTTTTTTTTGTATATCAAAAATAATTCAGATTTCATTTTTAATTCTGACTAAAGTTCTAATATACTTTAAACAAATAATTTTAACTTTGCAATTCAGTTTATATAATTCTTATAAATATTAGACAATGTTACAATAATTATAATAATCTATTTAAAAACAATTAATATTCCTCGAACATTTCGTTACGGTACGGAAGTTCCAGCAATTTGCTTTAAGGCACGATGCCATACACCCCACTAGTATTTTAAAAAATCAAACATTTAAAAAAAGCAAATTTTACCATTTTTTGTAACTAAAAATACACGTAATGTTTGGTGGGAAAGGGGGGCTAATTTTGAATATCACTAAGGATGAAAGGGGTCCAAAAATCCTTAAAAACTCGAACACGTAATTAATGGACGCCCCCTAAATAATTCCACATAATTTAATATTTCCACACAATTTAGAATTTTAGTTATTAATTTAATTCATCATTTTCATATTTCAATTTATTATGAAGTCCCATTTCAAAAATATCCGAAGACCGTTTACCCTAGATCAGTTACCATCAAATAACCAAAACAGGACGAACCAGTATCCAATTTGCCATCTATCAACCCAACGACAAGAATCAATAATAGGCCTATGAGTGCTCCAGTTCAAGTTAACAGTAATTCCTTAGTTGCAACAGCAATTGGCCAAAGGCCGAGAAGTAGTTCGGCGTCAAGTAGATCGAGAAGAGCAGCAAGTTTATCTTCGACAGACACCGGCAGCGACACCAGCGTCGAAAGCAGTTGTGCAGATTCTGTAGATCAATCAGGGTAAGTGGGTAAATGATAGTTGTTATTAATTAAATTTTATTTCATAAACAATTTTATTATTAAGCAGGTCAGTTTTATCTCCCCAGCATTGTATACACAGATATGAATATTTATTTATTTAAAACGTTGTATATCTACAGACGGTTTAACAGATGGTACAAATCTCTTCTTTGCACAACTGTTAAAACTTTGTTATTTACAGTAAGATATCAAACGTTGTAAAATATTTTTGATGTAGGTTTTGACTAGAAAAATATTATTTGTGAAGGTTGCTTTTAGGCAGATTTCAAGAACCTCATAAATTCTTAGACATTTATAGCTCTTACGACATGTTTGAAAGATTTAATGAGTCAGATTGAAAATCAAGAGGTTATGTAATCAAACTAGTTGTGTATTGTAAAGCAAATTGCTATCACTTCTAGTTTTGTACACAAATGTCAGATAAATGATATATTGCATACAATTTTTAACTTCCCGCAGGGTAAGTTATTGTAATCGTCCAAAAATCGAAAATATTTTTTTTTGTATATCTACACGTTTCAGAGGTTTCTGAATATTTTGGCATACCGCAGAAAAAAGTGATGTGTGTGTGAGCGTGCGTGTGTGTTTGTATGTGCGGATACAATTTTTGCCGACGATTTCGACAACAAGAATCAACAAATTTGAATGATCATAAAACCATTCGATTTCTTTTGATGTGGTGATAAGTTTTTGGCATGAGCAGGCTGAGCCGTTCCGAAGACATGGGCAAAAAGTGCCAAAAAGTGTAATTCAATTTTTGAGAGAACGGAGCGTCCGATTTGAATGATTTTCAAATGAATGAATGACTTGCTAATTCCGAGATTTACATGAATTTTGCTGCCGTAGCGGCGGCATCCGAATGGAAAAGGTTAAAAAATGTTTCATTTGCACTGACCAAATGAAGAAATAATAGAATTTTCAGGAAGGCAGGTCTAGCAATTTCGGAGATTACAGTGAAAAAATGTCATTTGGCTGACAAAAATGATCATTAGACATATGCACATCAAACTATCATATATTTTATAGATATTTTAATAATAACAAATTCTGTTTACATTTCTATGGGCTCTGTACCAATGTTTATACTTTATACTGCGACGCGGCGCCTACGCGCTTCGATATTTTGATTCTACGCAGCTAACGTGTTGCGATTGCTTTGAAAAAAATTCAAACTTTCCAAAATTATTGAAATTATAAAAAAAATCATTTTTTTCACAAAGATTAAAAATCTAAAAAATCTATATTTTTACAAGTTCTAAAAAAAAATTCATTTTTTTTTAAAAAAAATAATTTTTCGTAGTTTCAGCAATTTGCCTTAAGGCACGATGCCATGCACCACTAGTCAGATTCTGATAATGTTTCAAAGACATCAAGTACGCCTTGTAATTTTTGTTAGAACTATCGGTGATATAAACTAGATTTAATTACGTTTAAAAGGAAATATAAATCCAGATTAGATTAATGGTCAATAAAGAAATTTAATTCTAATTAAACATTGAGCGATTACTGCCTATAACATTTTTTGCTTGAAGTATTGTCTTCCCATGGTTGATTCTCGGAACTTCTTATTAGAATCCTTTACTGTGTTCCATTTAGATTCTCTTGATTACATCAAATAATCATTTCTTATACGAAACCGATTTGCATCCAAGATAAATCTCATCGAACACATGGGAAATGTCGATGGACCAGTTTTGCTATATTAATACTAACTGTTCAACTTGCTTGGGACGAGTTATCTCCGAAGATAAGATGATGATAGAATCATAATTCTTCGCAATATTAAATTTTTATTTACTGTATTATGCTTTTATGACTTGCGCATATAATAAAAAGATGTCAATTCTGAACTTAACTGTATGCAAAGTCTGGTTCTCGTAATAAATGAAAGTTATTATCTAGTGACACGATCTATTGAAATGCATATTATAGAAAACTCGGCCATTGTTCTCAGTTGTAAAATAGATGCAAATTTTATTCTGAAATGAAACTACATCTTCCTTTGGAGATTTGTTTCTGAAGAGTATGTGGTCTTACTTTTATACAAATCTAACAAGTGATAAAAATTATATTCTAAGCATTCATTTTGCCACTATTTTTGTATCTAATATTTTTTTACATTTTTATTAAATTTTATAAAAAGAATGGTAAAATATTGTAAAAATATAATGAACTCTTTATTTGCAAACAGTTTATTTGAAGCCTTGATGAAAATACAAATTTTCACTCAATGCGTTTACAAGTAGATAGATTAGATTAGAATCAATATATCTAATTATATAGATTCTATATAATTTTTGTGCATTAAGTAAAAACAATGCATTTTAATATTCTATGATTATATAGTTGAGCAAAGGTCATCTTTGTCGAAATTAATAGAAATTTTTCGATAGACAAAATGATCAAAAATTAAGCATCGTGCCTTGGGGCAAATTGCTAGAACTTTCCGTACCGTAAAATAAAATTTTAAAATGCTCTAAAATACTTTGAAATGTTTGAAAAATATCTGATAATTTAATGTTCATATGTATAATGATAACTTTTATTCGCCAAATGAATTTATCTTAATTACATTAATACAAGTGATATTTTTTGTGTTTTCTCAAAATTGCCAATTGTATTACTTCTTATCCCGTATCTTTAAAACGGCTGGATTTGCCTTTGTCAAAAAGTAATCAACACGTTTCCGCATCATTTCGAATCGAATATTTTTTGAATTACTCAAATCGGACACTTGGTTCTCTCAAAATTGCAATTTTAGTTATTTCACCCCATATCTTTGAAACGACTGGACCTGCTTCTGCCAAAAACTAATCAGCACGTCCCCTCATCAATATGAATCGAATGTTTTTTGAATCATTTAAATCTGATGATACGTGCTGTCGAAATCTTGGACGAAAAATTGTATCCAAACATACACATATACATATACTATACACACACACACATACATTTTACTAAGGTAAATGTTCAAAAAGTCATAAAAAATATACGGGAAGTTAATAATACAAATTACATTACAAAGTTAAATATAATATTTGTCTTTTTCATTTAATAAATTTTCAACAAAAAAGTCTATGCAATAGATATTTTTGTTTGTTTTGTACTTATCTTCTTCATAATAAATAAGAAATTAAGTTATAAAATAAATAAAATTTAAAAGTAAAAAACCACAAGATACGAACTATTTAAGTATTGATTTAGTCTTACAATTAGAGTATAATACATATAAAAAAATAACTAAAAATCGTAAAAACGTCTCACAGAATTTTTCACATCATAAAAAATCATAATTTATCATTTTTTCTGAAGACTTGTAATAAATTTTTGTCGAAATAAAAATAATCTTCGCGCCTCTCAAAGTTTCAGCAAATTCGTCACGACGAACATCAAATTCTTTTTTACAATACATCGGCATAATAAAATTTAAGAAATATGACGAATTTAATCCCAAACCATGAAACATTTTAATTGTCTCGAGGAATAAAAAAAAAATTGAAGTATGCCACATTTCTGGTTTATGAAAGTTATAGGTTAAAACTTATATGTGAAATTTTAGGTATATAATCAGTCCATTAATCCAATATTAATCTAAACGTTTAATTAATAGAAAGTGTTCTTTATCCATAGTACAATCACCCTTTAAAAAAAAAATAGTTTTTATTCTTGATTTCTATATTGTTGCTGATATAAATATAAAATATATTTTGAATATTAAAAATCTGAATTTGAGAATCATAAAAATATTAATTTAAAAAATCTTATAAAATTATAGAAAATATCAAAAATAATTATCTATAAATTAACTAACGACTAATGATACAATTATTACATATTTAGACAGCAAAAAAAATTATTTTCTGAATTATTTGATAAAATAAATTCGATTTTATTTCAATCTAATTCTAAAAAGTACTTTGTATGGCTTCTGTATTTTGTGCATATATTTTTAGTTTTTTGTGAAACATATGCTATAAATTGTATATTCATCAATAGTGAATAGAACTATATTTAGACTTACTGAAGAAAAAAGTCGTTTATTATATAAAATTTTCATGGTTTCTATATCTGCAATTCATTATAGCACTCGGATCGATATGTCTGAACTTATGGCATTTGCTGTAGTGTCTGCAAAATATTTCACTGAAATATATATATTTTACTGAATACTAATAATAAAAATATATGTAAGATAAAAATATTTACTTTTTTCTGTAACCTTAAGAAAAAAGGTTCGACTCGTTCCTATCTGCATTTTCTTGTTGCACAAAACTTGTTCCTGGCGATTGACCTGCATTCGCGAGTAATTCCTCTCGTAAATTTGATATGAAGGAAATTTATTGAGAATACTGTTAAATGTCTTTAGCACTTATATTAAAACATAGTAATAGACATATAATATCGATATCCTGATGGTAAATTAAATTTTCTGATAAAAATTCTCATCCAAGTACAATCTACATCTCTGATGCAGTATTGTGTGAAAACTCGTGAATTTTTTAATTTTTTTAGTTTTTCTTATTGTAAATTAGTTATCAAAAATGCTTAGTTAATTTATGTATTCAAATTCTTCATTTAGGACATTGAATCCTAAAAAATGATTTTATTTTCTTGCCCTGTGTATTACAATATCTACCTTGTCCCCAATATGTTGCAAAATGTAGGTACCAGTATCGTATGCAAAATGGAAAACTTTCCAATGGGAAAATGCCTTTGTTAACGTTATTTATGTAATTTATACAACCATGGATGTAAGAAGATGTTCTATTGCAATATAAGATTTATTCATAATTATATAGACCAGGAAAAACTGTAAAACAGTCGTGAGTAAAATTTTTTTTATATATGTTTTATTACACCTTTTGTTAGAACTATTTTTTTTTCTTCATAGTTATTTACTTTCGCGTCTTAGAAATAAAAGTTGTATGGAGGAGTTGGACAATTTATTTACAGAACTTTTAGCAAATATTACTCAATTG